AAACGCTTTTCTCTTTCTATATCTTAGTTATTAGTCGTGCGATTTTCACCAAATTTGGACTGGTATTCTGTATATGGGGTTCTATTTAAATAAAACGGGGTCGATTTTTCATGAAAAGGCATCTTTCAACAGGAAAACGAACCTCATAATATTGTTCTTCATCGATATAAGAATTTTCACATGAATTCTGTGGAGGGTATCAGCATCAGCATTTTTGCGAACGTAAATTAGTATTCTATGCATCGATCATGAGGAAACCATGTATATAGGAGTGTATTGATAGTTCAATATCATGATAGTTTCATGCACTAGAGACCACAAGTAGGAAGTGACAACTTCGATGGCCGGTATAGTATTTCCAATATTTTTTAGACAATACGGGGAAATCTGAATAAAGTTATATCAATTTCATGAAATATTTACACGTATACACGAAAAGAATGAACTAAATAAATATGAAAATATTGATAGGGAAATTTGACATTTGCGACTAAGAACTTCCAAATTGCATCTCATCAGAAGTATTCATTACTCACCCTGTGTATTATAAATGATGTGAATGATTTTCGTAATCCCAGCGAGAACACAATATGGTTAGATCGACTATCGGTGACTTCGATGCATGTATTACGCTATTCAAGACTCGAGAACATATATAACCGCCATCGCATATCAACATAAATAGATATTTTGAATAAACTCGGCCGTATCAGTATATCACCTGACGAAGCTATACTGTATTAGCGAAACATGTCATGTGTTTGAGAATTTTGTGGAAATCTTATCGTTTGTGGAGTTTTCACATAAATAGATATACCTACAGTGGTACGCGTGCTTCCATGACGCGAGTCTGCTGGTTTACTCTCATCCCAGAAAGTTCCTAACTGGCCTATGGAAATTATCGCTCCAAAAATCAATTAATTTCTCACAATTTATATTTCAGCATTCTCCAACATCATGAGTACATGAATTGCATGAACTTTTGACGCATTCTCGTTGTCATTATGATTGTCATTTGGAATTAAATGTCAAACAACTCAAGCAAGTGAGATAGAAACATATACCCACTTGATTATACCCAAGTACTATACGTGTTTTTATGGGCCAAAAATTTGTTTTCATGATGAAAAGAACGTGTCTTCATTGGTTTAAGATCTGTATCATGATAGAAATCCGAGATAATTAATTCGCTTCTTATAAAATGTGAGTAGGAAAAATTATTCATTCGGAAAAGATGAGTTCAACCAAAAAACTATGCCTTGTTCTTTTTATGTGAAACATAATTTTCTACTTACTGGAGCTATTGAACGTTCCAGAATTTGCGGTTAATTAGTCATTATTTATTCGGGGCTGATAATGAGAAGAGAAATTTGACCCATTCGTCTCATTCTATAGTATTTTAAAATTATTGAATTTTTGCACATGGAGGTTCGAAAACATGAGTAACAATACTGTAGAGTTAGTTTTCCTACAAAAAATCCTGATTCATGAAACCCATTTCAATTTCAATAAAAACGCACGGTACTGTCCATAATGATGTTTCTTTTCCTAAAAACTGATCATATCAATGGTAATTCATACTAGTCCAAATTTGGTAAGAATCGCACGATTGATAGCTATAATAGCTGAGATATAGAGGGGGGGGCATTTGAAATGAGACATGCTGTATATAATTATATATATATACATATATCAATTCGTCTTTACCCTGTTCTGCTGTTCACCATTTGGCTCATGAATCACAAAAACCTGAACTTCGAAGTAAACACTCAAAACACTCGCGAAGTCTACCCACTACCGCAATTGGTTAAAAAGTTTATTTCACGAATCCCATTATAGGCGATATTTTCTACTGTGATATAATACAAAATAGGTATCTTCTCTACCCTTGAAAGTCTATACTTATGTGGAATTCCCCGCTTCAAAAAAAATCTTTACATCGTCGACCGAATTGCGGCTTTCGCCGGTTCCCCTTTTGCCGACAAACGTTTCACCTCACACCGCACCTATGACATCATCTGATGTTTTTATTTATCATTTCGGAGAGGAGGATTCACGGACATCGTGCCGTGCTATACTTCCTTACTGGAATGCTAAAATTTTCTTATAATTCTCATTCGATAATATAAAATAATGTATGGATATTGTGGTCAATATAAAAGTTCCCAAGGAATAGGATGAAGAAACAGAAATGATGAAAAATGATATAGATAGCTGAAGTACAAACGTAAATGTGTCCTACTTTTTGAATCCCTCTGGTAAAATCTCAAAAACGCAAAATAAGCCTGTATTCCAATATTGAAACACAGTTTTCAGCATTCTCCGGTGAGGACGCTAGGAATCGGTGTCGAAATGTTGGAAAACATGGGTTCGCGCGCCCCCACTTTTCCCCCTCTGAAAATTTTTTTTTCCTGAAACAAAAAATACTGGGCTCTTCACAAAGGATGAACGGATGTTTCTCTGGAAGCGGATTTTGAGTTTTTGTCTTAGTTTTTTCAAAAAAAAATTCTGAATATACTCGAAAAATGCAATGTTCATGATTTTTTTGCAGAATATCGGTGAATTTTTTCAAAATTCTGCTTCCAGAGAAACCTAGATATTTCAATTCTTCATCTCACCATATTTTTTGTTTTCCGAAAAAATCAATATTGAACTATGAAAAGTGGGGGCGGAGAAATCATGTTTTCATTGCACTGATGCATGGTGTATCCTCCTCTTAAGAACTGGTTGATAACGATTTGTCTTGATCAAAACAACAATTCAATCAGTATAGTGACATATTTGACTATCTCATTTTCATATACGTTTCGTCGTTGATTTTATTATATCAGAGTTAGAAATATTGTAAGGAAAAGATATACAATTTTGTTTTGTAAAGTTATTGAAGCATAAAATGAAATCTTGATAGCCATATACTAAGTTTATAAATATAAAAAAAAATCATAACAGTTCTTCAATCGGCATCAATAAGAGGACTCATCATTTTCTTATGAGTTATATAAACTGCTCAACACATGAAACGTAAAATCGCATTTTTTCGATAAAATTTGAATCATTATAACTTTCGATTTCCTCAACCGATTTTCAATTATTTTTCAGTTTCTGAAAGCTTGTTTCGTTGACTATTGAACCTATGGATATGACTATTTCATCTTTTCCGGATGAGATTCTACAGGATGATAATCAAAGATGTGCATTTTTCAAAAAATTTCAAACGCCTCCCGTTTGAAAGAAAATTTCTTCTATTGTCTTTTGGGGTCAAAAACACATTGCTCCATATGTTTTTCCCAAAAGTTTTTGGAATTGTCACACGCGTTACTGAAATATGAATGTGGTATTAAGATAATGCATAATTTGATGCTCTAATTTCTATTGGCTTTGTGATCCTGTCAAACAGGTTCGAACGGTGGTCAAAAATCTTGAAATGATGCATGATCAACCTATTCCTATATACTCGGTGGTCCTCAAACAACAATTATGACATCAAGTAATTCAAAAAAATCTTGTTTTGAAATTTGAAAACAATATTATGTGGAATTTTCGACAGATAAAATCTGTTTGACAGAAAATTCTTCAGCGTGGAAATTCAGCTAGGTCATTTCCATGGGTACACTGAGGGAAAAAAATTGTAGCCGTTACTAAAAAATTAGTAACTACAGAAAAATGTTTTAGTACGATAGGGGACAGCAAGCATTAGTTGTTGCCATAACTGATTCTGATTTTCTGGAAACGCCTATTTGTCTCAAATGAAAAGTTTAGTTGAGTCATCTACGACGTTGTTGTGGTAACTAATAAGCCTTTTCAAGGCATAATACCAAGTTTCATTTGCCACAATCAAGATACATAGTTATGACAATTAGATTGTTAGTTCTGTTTCAATATATGTTTGTTATCACAACAAATTATTCCAGTTGGGGCAAATACTCATTTCTTCTGACGTTAATAGTGAGTGTGTTGTTGCAAATTGAATATTTAATTGTGACTGAAATGGAATCTAGTTACTATTAAAAGTGATTTAGTAACGCTTGAAATATAATTTAGTGATTCTGGCAACTTAATAGTTTTATATCAATTGAAATCAAGGCCCCATTCTAATAATAACAGTTTGTATGCCATTTTCCTTCCAATTTCCAATGGAATCGTGAACAGGAATACACCACACACCGTAAGTGCCACAGGCCATAGCTCAGCAAAAAGAGAGGGAATTATAAATATACACTGTGTACACGTGACGTCGGATGGACGTTTCTCACCGTCGCCCGTCGTAAACTGAACTGAATTGTGAATAGGTACCTAAACCTGATAACTAGTGACGCACAGATAACGATGGTAAACTGCGAATTATTATTTTGCCAACCAAATGCCAAATGGCTCAGCGCGAAGTGCAAAAAAACACAAAACAGTGATTTGAAAACACACAGAGCAGTGAACCAGCGAGAACACGACGCTCCCGGCTACACTAGACAATTATTTTATTTATTTTGTCAAAGCTCGAGGACCGTGCGATCTACCCACTATCAAGATACAAGTTCTAATGATGAAACAGAAAGACAAACAGATGCAAGATGCAATTTTTGCCGGTGGGTCCCGAAGAGACGCGAGGCGGTCCCGAACGACGCAGTACAACTAAAATTATTAGTTATGGCTAAACTATTTCTGCTATGAATAATAATAAACCTTTTACGATAAATGTGTCATCAGTTGTGGCAAATAGTCAGCTGTTGTTAGTAACCCCAGAATGAGGTTTTTTAACCCCAATATGAAATTTTAATTGACTGAATAGACAACACTGTGATAATTCTGTCACAAATAGTATTTCCATTGATGACAAATAATTGGCGAAAAATAGAAAAGTCATTTGTAGGAAATAAGGATACGTTGTCATTGTTAATAAAATTCCAAATATTTTTAATTATCGGTACTAAAAAAATACCAACTAGACGTTTTAATTAACCAGTTTTTCTCAGTGTAATTATTCAGAATGAATTTCAATTTTTCAGGCCGTCATCAAGAAATCCAAAGTGACTTGTAAATGCCACGGTGTATCGGGATCATGTTCTTTGATCACTTGCTGGCAACAACTAGCGACCTTCAGAGAAATCGGTGAGTCTAAGTGCCTGTACCATATTCTTTCTGCTATCAAATTTTTTAATGGTTGCCCCTGATACGCGTAGATATATTGGCAGGTACTCAAAAGCTGAAAGTACCTGATACCTACTGAGCGAGTAAATGAAACAGGATTAATGCTCATGCTCATAACATAAAATTTTTATGACTCATGTTCGTAAAGGTGGATTTATTCAGCAACATTTAACAATTAACAATTATCAATTAACAACTGATGATAATATTGACAATGCAAACCAAATTAACAATTATAGTTTAATAGTACGCAAACGCACATGCCCTAAATCTGGACTACCAAAGCAATATCCTTACAAATTCGGTGTTAACAATTTACATAAGGAGCTAAAATTTCGAATTTCATAAAATTTTCTGATCAGGAAGAGACTGGGTTACTTATAATTCACAATTATTCTGTTGATTGATGATTGCAATTATTTTATGTTAAAACAAATTTCATAACATCTGTCAGATATCAGGTCTGACATTGGTCTAACAGTGACTCTAACCAATCCATGCCTTCTCAACCAGTCGATGAAACCAATCCGCGATCATCTGCGTACTATAGTTGCGCACTAGAAGAAAACCTGGTTCAATCAAAGTAAGAAAGTTGAAAGTTGACCAACTTCTTACTTGTTACTTGTTAATTGATAATTGTTAAATGTCTGCATAAACACCTTCATTGAAAACAGGAAATTCAACTCTTAATTGCTACTTGTTAAATGATAAATGTTATTTGATAATTGTTAAATGATGTTGCATAAATCCACCTAAAGTTGTTTTGATTGAATATATCGCACGTTGACAACAATAGTGTGATCATTCAGAATTCTTACTTTTGAAAAAATTGATTGAGTATCTGGAGAACGTCTAAAATATTTTCATCGATACAGTGTTGCCACTTCTATCAGAAACAACTAGCAACTTCGTTACTTTAAATGGAGCACCCTGTATTTCATTGTATAATTTTAGATTCGTCCTGAAGAGTTGATTTCATCAATGTATCACACTTGGGGTCTAGCAGGAATGATTACAGAGATATAGGGTGTTCAAAGATTTTTCAATTTTAGGATTTTTTTGTGTCGAAACTATTCATTATTGATCAAAACGGCTTCTATGTCCCTATCTTAACTTTAGATTCACTTTCTACTGACATTTAATTGGAACAGATACAGGGTGATCAGAATTCTGAATCTCGATTTATTTATCGTTCGATTTCAAATTGATGAGCATGAGAAACTGTAGATACATAGAAAACAACACCTATACTGGGTCAATGAACATTTTGAAAAATCTCATCAGTTTTTTTCCTTACTATATGTATTGAAATGATATTCATATTTTTATTTAATAGAAACGAAAAGAGAAAATCCCAAGAAATCTGGAATAATAAAATATTGTCCTTGGACGAAAACTTGATATTCCTCTAGCATCACACACGACTCGTAATCAAACTGATATTATGTAAATTCATGTAGAGTTCACACCCCTTAATTGAACGTTATACGAAGTGCAGACAAATTGATTTATATCGTTATAAAACTTTGTAACTATTCAATGCTAATACGACGAGATGCAATTTGTTTTCGATGCATTTTAATTCCTATTTGAATTTCGAGAGAGAGAGATGAAAAGGTGATTGAACCGTATCTGGAGTTTATGATGGGCATTAATTTTTTTCGAATCGATAAAATTTTCGAAATGCTTGCATAACCTCTGTTTTGATAATATATGACAGGATTTTGGATGATTAAGTTAGATGAAAGTAGTTCCAAGTTGTGCACATTTGGAACGCCTTTTGGACGTTATAGATTTCTTCGTCTTCCGTTCGGAGTGTCATGCGCACCAGAAATATTCCACAAGGTAATGACAGACTTATTTCTTGATATACCAGGTGTTACAATTTACATCGATGATATCTTAATATATAGCGATACTATTGAAGGGCATAATGAAATATTAAAAAGAGTATTAGAAAGAGCTCGAAATGTCAATTTGAAATTCAATGCGGAAAAATGTAATTTTCAGGCTTCAGAAGTGAAGTATTTAGGCCAAGTATTCAATTCTGAAGGAATGAGTCCTGATCCTAAAAAAATTAATGCTATTTTGGATTTACCTATTCCTCAAAATGTTGCAGAAGTAAGAAGATTTTTAGGTATGGTCAACTACTTTGGAACATTCATTCAGAATTTGGCGGATAAAACTTATAATCTTCGTTTATTATTGAAAAAAAATATTGCTTGGCATTGGACAGATTCACATCAAAAAGAATATGACTCGCTGAAAATAATAATCTGTCATGTACCTGTGCTAACATATTATGAGCAAAAATTTCCATTAAAGTTGTCTGTTGATAGTTCAAAATTTGCAGTTGGAGCAGTGATAATGCAAAATAATCGCCCAATTGCATTCTCTTCAAAGTCATTAACAGATTGTCAAATGAAATATGCCCAAATTGAAAAAGAATTGTTTGCAATTCAGTTTGGGTGTCGACGTTTTCATCAGTATATCTATGGACAGAAAGTTGTTGTAGAAACCGATCACAAACCATTGGTAGTATTGTTCGATAAACCTTTGTTGAATGTACCATCGAGGCTTCAACGTATGATGCTGAGTTTACAACAATATGATTTAGAAGTTATTTACACTCCTGGTAAAAATCTTTTCATAGCAGATACTCTCAGTAGAGCACCTGTTGAACCAGCTGATCTGGATGATTCGTTAGAGGAAGAATTACGTATTCATATGAATTTCTTCGTTTCCAATTTAGCAGTTTCACCTACTAAGCTAGAAGAAATAAAAAAGGCTACTTTGGAAGATTTAGATTTGCAAATAATAAAAAATTATTGTCTCAGTGACTGGCCAAAGTCTAAAAGTGAAGTAAGTCCATCGGTCAAGAATTATTACAATGTTCGTGACGATATTCATACGATTGATGGTTTGATTTTTAAAAATCACAGACTTGTGATTCCTGAAAGTTTGCGTAGCCAGATGTTAGATATTATTCATGAGGGTCATTTGGGTATTGAAAAATGTCAAAGACTATCTCGAGATTCGATATATTGGCCAAACATTAGTGTAGATATAAAAAATAAAATTGAGCAGTGCACTTCTTGTTTAAAATTTCGAAATGCTAATCCCAAACAACCCTTATTGCCTCATGATATTCCAAATTATCCATGGCAGAAAGTTGCAGTGGATTTTTTTCATTATGAAAATATAACGTATCTGCTTGTAGTTGATTATTTCTCAAAATATTTCGAAATAACTTCCATGAAAATAACTACTGCCAAAGAAGTAATTATTAATCTCAAATCTATCTTTGCAAGACACGGTATTCCCTCCATTATCATTTCTGACAATGGTCCACCATTCTCGTCATTAGAATTTAACAATTTTCTCAAGGAATGGGATATTATTCATTATACTTCAAGTCCTAATTATGCAAGAAGTAATGGTTTAGTTGAACGTATGGTAGGAATTGTAAAAAATATTTTTAATAAATGCCGTGAATCGAAAACAGATCCCTATATAGGCTTATTGCAATATAGAAATTCCGCACTGAGCTGTGGATTTTCTCCTGCTCAATTACTCATGTCTCGTTGTCTCAGAATGAAACTTCCTGTCAGTGAAGATATTTTGAAGCCAAAAGTAATTGATTTTGATGAATATAATAGAAAAGTTGAGAGTAATACTAACAAAATGAAATCTCATTATGATCAACATACAAAATCACTTCCACCATTGAGAGAAAATGATGAAGTGATGTATAAAAAAATGCCATCATCTCCATGGTTGCCTGCAACTGTTGTTCATGAAGGGCAGTCTCCTAGGTCATATATTATCAAAACACCTGATGGGGCCGAATATTGTAGAAATCGACAACATCTGATGAAAGCTAATGCAACCATACCATCAGCTGCTGTTGGAACTGATATTGAACCAAATAATCATTCTGTTAGTGGGAATACAATACGACATGACCTAGAGTCTGAATGTGGAAATGATACGAATGTTATGGTCACCAGAAGTGGTAGGTAAATTGTTAAGCCACCACGATTTTCTTGCGCTTCCGAAATTGATGTTAACAAGCCTAGTACTAGCTATAGACATTAGTAATATTTAGTGTTAATATTTAGTGTTCATAATATTGTTTGTTGAAATAATAATTATTTCATTTCTTCAGAAAAGAGCGTGTTATGATGATAGATCAAGACTCTGTATATAACTGGTATTCGTCATGTATTGCTAGGGAGATAGGGAATTGTCAGTAGATACTTGACATGCATGTAACTCAATCAGTCAATAAACGTCTCAAATTACTATCTGATTATTTATACAATAAATAACATAACAACCTCCATTGCTGTTTGAAGCGTGGACCAAATAAATGTTTTGTCCGATATAAGTATGTACAGTGTTGCCCAAATAAATCATAACGACTTCTGGTCGAATTCAAAGATTTTTGTCTAAACACATGTACAGGGTATCTCAATTTGGGCACTTTTGCGGGGTATCTCCCTTATCAGTAAAGATAGAGCATTGCGGTTTTCGCGACAGTGTGCTACTTTTTTATGAAATTAATAATTGTGATAGCTCTTCCGGTTGTCGAGATACAGGGTGGAATTGAAAAATATCACTTTTCAGGCACCCTCCGTGTCTCAGTTATCTTTGAACTTATCGAAGAAGTTGAAACTTGTTTTTATAGAGTTTTTCTCGTAGAATCCAGTGGCGTAGTTATTTTTTTGCTAGCACCTATTGTTTTTTAGTTATGGAGCAAACATATGTTTTTTTAAATGGAACACCCTGTATATTATTTCATATATACATTGAGCATGAAGTGGGCTTTCCAAAAATATATAATTGTATACAATTATTTTCCATTTAAAAAAACATATGTTCGCTCCATAACTAAAAAACAAAAGGTGCTAGCAAAAAAATAACTACGCCACTGGATTCTACGAGAAAAACTCTATAAA